TTTAGTCAATTCAACTGTAAACTGAAGAGACCTTGTTGCCAATCTAGTACTGCGCTTAAAATCAAAGTTTAGGTACCATAGCAAAGAGCTAATCCAAACAATTATCATGAAAATATTTATAGAAAACACACAAGAAAGCAACTTTATAGTGGTGGGAAAGTGACTGAAGCTGAGATGCCAGGTCAGGACCAATAATATGACCAATGACAGCAATAATCTAAGCATGGGCAAATGGTAGACTTATAGATATGTAAGATAGATTGTGGAGGGAGAAAATTGTCTAGCAAAACACAGTGAACCAACTTTCCTAGCAGCTGAACTAGCAATGAATTCACTATAGTATTTCCACTTCATGTCAGCTGAGAACGTTAGCACAAGAAGACTCAATGAATCACTTTGCTGGAGATTAGCATCAGCCATGCTGATGGAAGGCAGAAAGCTGTCGCTCAGATGATTAATAGATAACAGTTTTGTTTTGGAGACGTTAAAATGAACAACTTATTCCTTGCCCCAGTTATCAACAGACTGTAGGTAATTTTTGAGATCAGCTGCCGTTTTGACCTTATTGAACTAGCCAGACTTACTGATCCGATATTTATTATAACCAACAACAGCATTCCTTGGAAGAGTGAGTCCAATTTCTTTGTTTATTTCCCATATCATTTAAAAAGAACACAGGCATGTCCAAGAATTCCGACTTTAAGATTTTTCTCTTCATGCTTCAATTTAGTCAAAAAGTTTATATATATGTTTTTTTCATTCTACAAATTTCATTAACAGGCATATTATATATATCTCAGTATAACCAATAGATTTATGATGGATTTATTTATGTATGGGTCAACCTATGATCCATACATTTTTGCATTGTCCCAGGCATGAAAGTGCCATTCCCTGTCACTTTTGCTTAAAATCAGAATATAGTATGTTCTCTCTCAGGATAGTGTTACAAAGAAAAAGAAATGTACTTATCTACATACACATTACATTTTATATGAGAGCATGTTTTTTATTTTTTTTAAAGGTATTTTAAAGAAACAAAAATACAGGCCACAATTAGTTCATGATTGGTTTTTAATCATTTCATTCCAAGCAAGGTGAGAATGTCGCTAGTACACAGATGGATGCGTTACAAGGAGTGAAAGTGAAAGAGAAAACGGAGTACAGGTAGGATTAAGGAAAAGAAAAAAAGATGAATATGATTCAAGAAGATAGATGATGAATGACATTGCATTTAAATTTTTGAAGATTGTAGTTTTCAGGAAAGCAAGGAAATGGAAGGAAGTTCTACGGGTGGGAAGTGTGAGAAAAACTGTTGGAGTAGAAGTGGCAGTTGCATTTAGCTATTTCAACAGTAAAAGAATTGGACCTAGATGTTAATTTAGTAGCATGCTTAAATTCATGTAGTCGGGGCACCAAGGAAGAAAGCTGGTGAGAGCAGTCACCATGAAAATATTTGTAGAAAAGACAGAGGGAAGCCACATCATGTCGGTCTTAGTCATTGGCTGCAGCTGCAATGTTTTACCCCAAAATATTGGTCACTGGAAGTAGAGATTTTCTTACTTTGAATTTAATGATATAAAGACTATACTGAACTCATTTTATATTACGATTTATTAAATGATGAAGTCTCTCGGCCACAACTGAAATATCCTCAAGCAAGGTTGTGTTATGATTAACCCTAGAACACTAACCATCAATTGATTGTAGTTACACTACTACTAAACATAGCTATATCATACCCGATTTTGAAAATATCAAAAAAAAATATTAAATATAAATCTTTATTTGAAATATCTTACATGCAGGCACTTCAGACTTTGAGTTAACATTAATAGGAACTGAAAAACATTATTTAGGTAAGAAAATCAGTTACTGAAAATTGTAATTAAAAATAGGAAAATTTGCGCTGGGTACTATATACCCATGGTTAGTATTCTAGGGTTGAACAAAAACAGAAGGTTCTTAGGATTTCTTTCAAATGACAACAAAACTGCTGGTTAGCATTCAATTTTCAAAAACAGGTTTATTTACTAAAGATTGCCAATTCACTGAAAAAGTAAAAATCACAGAATTTAAGGACAACTAATATTTTAAGAGTTCTATGGCTTATCCTTTATCCTGGATTTTGATTGATTTGTTTTTTTTTTTTCTGGTTTATCAACCTTTTGTAGGTTATTTAAAAGCTAGAAAATATTTTTTGGTGTGGGGGGGGAGTATAATAAGGACCTACTATTTAACCTATAGCCAGAGAGAAAAGTGGATTCACGCTTTTCCCAAGGTTATTCACACATAAGTGAATATAAGAAACTTGACTAGAATTGAAACTTGGCTTTTTCAAAATTTCAAGTTCTGGGCAATTATCCATTACACCACCCATACATCCAAGTGTAAAGCACCTGGTATTCCCAAGCAGTTACTCATCTAGGTACTGACCAGGCTCAATGCTGCTTAACTTCAATGTTCATATGAGAACTGATGTTTCAACATATTATGGGCATAAGCCCTTTTGTCCTGGAAGATAGAAAAGGTGGTAAATTTTGTCTCCTTTCAATCTGGGATTATTTTCTTGGCAAAGATTCTATATATGTTTATTACAAATTTTCTGGTGATACACTGCAACAAAATTCATCCAGAAATCGGTCATATTACTATGGGCAGGGGTAGGGAGATCAACATAATGATGCATTAAGTGAAATTACTTTTGCTGACTGAGTAAGATCTTTATTTGAAAACTAGCTGTCTATTTGGTGACAGTCAAAAATTGTAAAATTTCCTGGACAATGTTTTTTTTTGTTATTTTTTTTTCCACCTCAATTCCTTATAAGGAAGTAAGGATTTTGGGGTGAATTGTATTTAAGCAAACAACTCCAGTCATCAAATAACTTATGACAAGATTAACATTATCCAGGTTCTATTTATCATGTCAACCCATTTACACAAAGTTCGAGGTGAAGCAGGTGAGGACAGGATATACTTAGTTGCAAACAGTTTAATACATCATTTATCATTTAATTCACTGGCTGTGTCTGGATCTTCTTGGCAGAGAGATGCTACCTGCCTCAACAGGTGGGAGTCACTCTCACCATATTACCATATTTTTTGTTTGTTTTTTTAGGGTTTTTTTTAATTAAATTTCACCCAATACAAGGCTCAAGAGTCACTAAAGGTAGAGATTATAATTCAAATGGTAATGATGAATAAGATGTGAGTTGAGTGAAAGAGAAAGTTGTAGACAGAGATTTTGAGGATAAGGAAGAAGAACAATTGATCCTTGACTTGACGAGGTTAAGATTGAAGGGTTCAGGCAGGGCTGGTGCGTACTATCCCCCCCCTCCATCGACTGAGGAATAAAATAAAATTCACTATTTTTTATCTATAATGTTGAATGTGCTGAAATTATTCAACTTTTTAACAAGAAAAATCTCATTAAATAGCAGCAAAACATTGTTGATTTATTTAAGAGTGAATGATCTATTATGACATGTCTCTAATTAGTATTTAGAAAATTGACATATATTAAAGTCGAAGCTCCGTATCATAAATTTGGTGGGGGCCCCACAAGACCCTTACACCAGCCCAGTGTTCAGAGAAGCACTGACAAAGAAATTTGTTCTGCTAAGTGTAAGTTAGGGGGGGGGGGAGAACTTTTTCTTACATATTTTTTAAACCAGTGGTGGTAGAGAAATTAAGATTAGAATTTAAGCAAAATTACTGATGAGTAGGAATCTAGGATTTCTTTGTCTTTACGTATAACCATCTGGTGCCTTTTTTTTTTTTTTTTTTTTTAACAATTTCACCCAATACAAATCCCGAGAGCCACGGGGGTAGAGGGTTACCGTCAAAATTGTAATGATCAAAGAGGAGTGTGATATGAATGAAAGAGAAGATGATAGAAAAGTAAGGTTAAGGCGAAAAGATAATGACTGACCTTTTGACGTTCCGAAAATGTTGTATAACAAGAAAGAGCAGCAAGCAAAAAAATAGGTTGCTACACAAGAAGCGAATGAAAACTACTTTAAAAAGTCATAAAAATTTAAAGGTGTTACTTAACACTTGTATATTCTAAGAGAAAGGAAAAAAAACACACACACACACACACACATTTCATTCAGTTCCCTGATTGGAAAAGCAAAGTTTCGCAAGCGATATTTCCAATCCAATGTGATCAACTCTTAATGCATTTTTCCTTTTTTTTTTTTTTATCACATATTCGAAATTTTATTTTAAATTGTAAGTGGTGACAGTGTTCAGATTTTGAGCCCAGAAATTGCAGAGATTTTTTTAATCCTGACCTTCTTGACCATCCAGGTTTACAGACTTTTCCGATTTTTATTTATAAGATCGTAGTATTGTGCGTATATTTTCTATTACAGTTTCTAACATTTTGCTTTCCATGAGTAAATAATTAAAAAAGGAACTGCTTTTCAGGGGTCACCGTTTTTCTAATTGTACAATGTACACTACAGCAATTGTCAATTATCATATCTACAACTTTGGACTGGGAAGTCTTAAATTAATAATCATAATCCTTTTTATTTTATTGTGAAAATCGATCCAGAAGACTTTTGGGTGGTCGGGGGTGGGGGAGATGATGCTGTCATTATTCAAGTGTCGTGGTAATAATAAATGTCACCAAAGAAAAGGTGGAAAAAAAAAAAAAAGTCTCTTTGCTCAAAGATTCAGAAAAAACTATCTTCCTTCAGAGATTTTATATAAAAAAAAATTCTTTATCAATCATGGTAAATAAACTGACACAAACTTGATTAACTGTTTGATAATTTGTAAATAAAAGCTTGTAAGAAATAATCCAGATGTTAATCTCAACCCAGCTGGTAAGTAAAAGAAAGTAGGCATTACTAATTTTTATCAAATGAGCCACGACTTCTCCCCTTTTCCTTTACAAACAAGCAATCATGCTTTTAATTTTACAGATGTTTTTTTTTTTTTTTTGTCGCTAGAAATAAATAAAAGCAGTATTTTTTAAAAAAATGTAAAACTTGTAGAAGAGTGTAAAACCAGAAAGAATGTCCAGTTTGGTTTTAAAAAAGAAAATCGCATCAAATGAGCCACGGTAATTCGGATAGAAAAACAAACAGATGGACAGAGTAAGAAGAAAAAAAACGGAGGTCAGAAAAATGATTGTCTATCAAATTGAGCGGAATTAAAATATATACTTCAGCTGACATCAACTTGATGTGTTTTTTTACTTGAGCCAACCAGAGGTATTTACCGAAGAAGGGGGGGGGGGCAACAAAAATAAGTTTTTTTTTTGTTTTTTTTTCCCCCCCACTAAGAGTTCAAGAGAATCTTCTTCGTCTTCATTGTGTGCTAAGTGCACATGCACTATGAAACTGAAAAAAAAAAAAACTTTTGTTTTTACACAAAAATGCATAATGTAATTATGCTCTTCATTAAGGTCTTAGGCTTAAAAAAAATTCCAAAGGAGTTTTAATACGTCTATAAAAAAAATAAACAAAAATTATTTAATTGTGAAAACTGATCCCCCAGTTTCGGACCAATATTCTAAAGCAACGATTTTTTTTATTATTAAAAAAAACATGAGAGAAGGTTTGTCTTTTTTTTTTGTTGTTGTTGTTGCTCATTGAATTTAACAAATTGAAGAAATTGCTTTAAGAATTACCACGTGTAAGAAGAAAAAGAAAAAAATGCAATTTGCTGATTTCTATAAAAAAGGAAAAAAGAAGAAAAACCTAGCAATATGGAAATTTAAAATAAACTAAAACATCTGTAAAGAGATTTCTGAGGAAGACTAGAGAAAAGATTGGTTTTTCTCTCATGTGAAGGAGAAAAAGAAAGACTTTCTGGTTGAGATAACAAAACTTTTGACAACGAAATTTTTTAAAAGAATCGAAACGAACAAAAGCCAATGCTTAAAAATTTCCACCCAAAAGACGACAAAAATGCAAGTTGCCTTTCTTTTTTGGTGTAAAAAAGTTTTCGAGGGTTAGTAAGTCATTTTTCATTTAAGTAAGTAAGAATTCTTTCTTTCAATAATTAATGGAAAAAAGAAGGAAGAAAAATTGAAGACAAAATAAAAATTATTAATTAAAAAAGAAAAGAAAAAGGTCGGAGAATTTTAGACAAATTTAATATTTTCATTTATTCATTCAATCAACAATGGCAATATAAATTCTCTTCAAACATTTCTCTCATATATATATATATATATATATATCTTCCAGTTAAAAAAAAATATAATTTAGGTTCTGTATTATGTGGGTACTTTTACACAATTTGTGGGCTTGATAAATGAATTTTCCTTCTCTGTAGAAAAGGACAAAAAGCGCATATATACAATAATCGCGTAAAAATGTGTGTAACAAAACATTACACGTGATCGTGAAAAACATTTAGAAAGATAAGCAACAAATAAATGGCTTACCTTGATGTCTTTTTCTAAAATTGCTGCCGATGGTCTCCGTGTACGACTTAGCATTGGTAAGAGGGACATAATGATTATTTCCTTTGCTACCTGGACAACTTGAAGCAAATAATTTTCCTCCCTTTTTTTTTCTCTCCCCAAAAAGCAACTCTACAATCGGGTTATTATTAATTAACCCACCCAAAATGTATTTCTTCTTTCTTAAGTACACTAACGATAAAACAGTGTTTCGTAGAAATTAATAAAAGAAATAAAAAAAATCTCTATGTTGTTGATATTACTTTTTTTTTAATACAATAGTCGTCAAATAAAATTAAATACTTTGTTCACCTTTTTCAACAACACTAACAGGAATATCTATCTACCTGTGTTGTGTGTGTGTCTTCCTACACATGTTAATTTTTAAACTATGTTATTCGTTTCTTTCACTCAAAAAGACTTGCATGCACACAAAATAGACAAAATGACAACTACACACTGTGTATACAATTTTCTTTTAAACTAACATTTAAAAAGAAATTAATTAATAAAGAGGAATGATTTTTAAAGAAAACAAGTGCTTTTTCGAAGTGGCTTATAAAAAGAATAAAGGTGTTGTTGATCAGATTCCCAGCCGGATCGGTGGCTGACTGACCCAAGACGACGATTTTTCTGACAAGGGGTTGCAGAAAAATAACATCAAGTAAATTATTCGACTATCCCAACTAGTACTACTAACGAAACAGAAATATAACAAGAAACCCAGAGAAAATCGCAGTTTTCATCAGCAGCAGTTGAAGTAATAACAGACTGATTGTTAGCAGGAGAGACTGATCATTATTTAGTTAGCCTCATATAACGGAATAAGGCCAATTTGAAAAAGCACAGGCAAACACACGACTAATAAATAAAACATGGAACTTTTATTTTATAGGGTCATTCAAAAGAACAAAATGTATAAGGAAACAGCATCATTTACTGAAATGAGAAAAAAAAAGCCTTAAAAAAAACACAGAAACACATTTTTAAACATTGTTTTTTAAAATGTTTCACTATAAACTTGGTGAGAAAAAATAAAAATTACGAAAGGGATATTCACTTAAAAAATAAATTTT